TTTGCAGAGTCTGCGGTTTGGCAGTTTCTGCAAGTGTCTTCGTAAGTATACTGTGCTTTTTGTTGACGTGGTCTTGTCCTTCTCTTGTGGAGGTTCAGGATCGTCATTTTGCCACATACTGTCACCTTGTCTTGTGCGGCACTGGCAGAGCCCTTCGGATTGTTCCGGTTTTGTTGTTTCTTCTGCACCGTTCACAGGCTGTCTCGGGCATTGTTCACCTCCAGCCTGCTCATGCGCCACCTGTACCATCCTGCTCTTGGGCAGGGTGCTCTTTTTCTCTCTTCCCCTCGGTTTGTTGTGGCCCCTTTGGTTCAGGTTTGTTTGTCGATGGTTTCTACTTCTTTGGGTTCTGGTGCTCGGTTTGTTCATTTGCAGCCGTCTCTTCCTTTCTGGTGGGGGTTGGGACGACTATTTTCCGGAGGGATCCTTGGGGTTGTTGATGCTTGGTAGGTTGGCCGGGGGTGCATCTTCTTGTGTCTCGTTGCAACTTTCCTCCATTATTTGCGCGCCACGGCCTCTGTGGCCTGGAACGCACTTTGGGTTGATCCGGTTTCCCTTCTTCCCTGTTCTCGGGTTCGGGTCTCTCCGGTCATCCTCCGGGTCTTTCAGTCTGGCCAGCCTGCGGTCTATCCCTGTGCCCATGACATTCGTAAGTTTGCTACACTTGCTGCCATCTTTGGCACCATGTCTTGGGCTGACTTTCGGGCACAGGGTTTTTGGCGGTTGAACAAAATCCTGGCTGCATGCTACCTCGTTAACGTTCCTGGGCCTAGTCGGGCCAGTGTCGCTTTGGGTCGGTGGCTGCAGCCTGTCTAGATTTCGAATTGAGATGTGAAACACCGACCGCCTCCCGGACACGTCCCCTTCTTTCTTTTAGTCTTTAGTGAAGTAGCTCCGGGTCGCCGAAAGGGCTCCCCCCACAAAACTAGCATTGAATGTAATGAAACACCATTTTCTGGGTTAGTCCTGGAGGCTCCCCGGCCACCCCCCCCCCCCTCCCCTGGTCGGCGGTTTTTGCATTTTTTGACGTCCAGGCTAAGAACTAGTTGTTGGATCGCCGGGGCGGTGGGTCTGGGGCTCCCCCTTCTCCCTCCCAGGGAGAGGGGAATTGCGCAGACAAGTGGCGCGGCTCATGTGACGTCATGCTTGATTGCCCGTTTTCATTTGGGGAGTTCTGCCCACTTGTTTGGTTATTTTCATCGTTTTAACCAGAATAGGGGGTTTTGTATTGAGGCACTTACCTTTCTGGGTGCCTGTGCTGGTCGATGCCAGATATAGAATGCTCCAAATCACATGTGCATTTCTATAGGCCATTGATCTTCGTGCCTCTCTGAGGGGGCCAGTTTCTAGCTGTGGTCCCTGGTAGGCCTAGAATTCCACCCACATCGACTGAAGCCAAAAGTTAAGACTGTTCCTATCAGCCTGGGTAGCTCCGAGGAGCCTCTGGGACTCGCCCAGAAAATGGCATTTCATTACATTCAACGCTGATTTTCTGGAGGGGATATTGCTAATGTCAGACTTTGGCATCAGTCATGTGTATGGAGTTCTTAAGCCTACCAGGGACCACGAGCCAGAACCTGGCCCCCTCAGAGAGGCATGAGGAGCAATGGCCTATAGTAACCCCCCCATGTGGTTGGAAGCATTCTATGTCTGCCATTGACCGGGTCAGGCACCCAGAAAGGTAACCATTCTAAAACAAACCCCTATTCTGGTTAAAAATTGCTACTGAGAGCCGAACTAGTGGACATAACTCCCAAAATAAAAACTAGCTAACGAGCATGATGTCACCATGTCACCACGCCACCGTCCGCACAGCTCCCCCTCCCCGGGAGGGAGAAGGGGGAGCCCCAGACCCTTCGTACTGGCTACCCTAGACCTCAGTTCTGAGGCTGATGGCTAGGCAGAGGTCATGTGCTCTGGCTCCAGAATTGGTTTCACCTCTATGCCTTGTGGCATGGTGGCTGTCTTATAGGGGGGGTGTGAGCCAGGAGTAATTCTTCAGTACTCCGGCTGCATGTGTCTGTGGTTCCCATCCCTAGGTGCATAGTAAGTACTGCCCTTGGGACTTGGGGCCACCTTCCACAAGTTCCTTGGGTTCTGCCTCTGCTTGGCTGTTTACCGCTCGGTTTTTGGCCGCCCTTTGTGTGCTAGGATGTTCTGACTTCCGTGTTCGCCTTAGGGTTGGAGGCAGTTTGCACTGGTGGGGCGCAGGGTACTGTGCAGCTTATTTTCACCAATCATAGCAGCCAACTCTGTTCCGCCTGGGTACACTGTTTTCTTGCGTTTTTTTTTCTTTTTTGTTGCCTGCTTGGTTGGGGGGGGGGGGTCGTTTCTGCCTTGGTTCTTGCACCCTGTGTACTGAGTACTCTTCTCTATTTCGGTGGTACCCGTGGTCCCACCGAAATTTTTGCTTGGTCCCCGTGAGTGTACACGTCCCGGGGGTTCAGTTCTTAGACAGTTGTTTGGTAGACTTGGGCGCCGGTTAGCAGTACCCTGCCTGGGCTTCCCTGAGCATGAGTTCCATCTCAGAAACTCAAGGTTCGGGAATCCCCACGGGGGCACACAGATCTGATGGATGTGACCCCTGAGTCCCCCCTCGCTTTGTGTGAGTTCGAGGGTTGCTCTGTCCCCTTGTCTCAGGGTGACTCTGTTTTTGCCTCCATCTGGTGCCTGTTGGGTCGGTGGCACCTTTGACCCGGAGTCCTGCACGTTTTGTTTCTTGTTTGTGACTCAGTTACCCAGTCCTATGCTGACTACATGGGTGCAGGCATCACAAGCATTGCCCGAGCCCTCGCTCGATGTGTTCACGGACGCATCGTCTCTAGGCTGGGGTTTTGTGACCAGTGCTCACCAGGCCGGCCAGGGGCGGTGGGGTCCATCGTTCCGTCGGGTTCACAGCACGGTGCGGGAGTTCGCGGCCGTATGGTTTGCGCTTCGGAGGGTTTGGGTCACCCACGGATCGACAATCCGGCTCCATTCGGACTGCTTCCCGGTGGTTCATTGTCTGAACCGGGGGTGTTCGATGCGGTCCTTGGCTTTTTGGGGTTGGTCGTTTCGGGTGACTCGTCTGCTGAGTTCTCGGGGTTTGGCTCTCCTGGTGGACGGCCTGTCCAGGTTTGTTTCCCTGTCCACGGAATGGACAGTCGGTGCCGGCTCCTTCTGTTTATTAATTCGTTTATTAAATCTTATTATTTATTATTAAATCCAGCCAGCTTGTGGTCTATCCCTGTGCCCATGACGTTCGTAAGTTTCCTGCTCTTGCTGCCGTCTTCGGCAATATGTCTTGGGCTGACATTCGGGCACGGGGATTTTGGCGGTCAAACATGGTCCTGGCTGCCGCTACCTTGTTAACGTTCCTGGGCCCAGTCGGGCCTGTGTTTCTTTAGGTCGGCAGTTGCAGCCCGTTGTCTCGGCTTCGTGTTGAGGAGCGGAGCACCGACCGCCTCCCGGATAAGTCCCCTTGGTTTTCTTGGTAGTCTTTGGTGAGGTAGCTCTGGGAAGCCGTAGGAGCTCCCGCCAGAAAACCAGTGTTGAATGTAATGAAACACCATTTTCTGGGTGAGTCCCGGAGGCTCCCCAGCATCCCTCCCGCCCTCTGGTCGGCGGTTTTTCGCGTTTTTTTATATCAGCCTCAGAACTGGGGTGTGGATCGCCGGCTCAGGGGCTCAGGGGCTCCTCCTTCCCCCATCCCAGGTAGGGAGGAGCTGTGCAGACATGCGGCGCGGCTCGTGTGACGTCATGCTTGTTTGCTCATTTTTCTTTTGGGAAGTTCTGTCCACTCGTTTGTCAAATTTTGTTGTTAACCAGAATAGGGGTTTGTTTTGTGGCGCTTACCTTTCTGGGTGCCTGTCCCAGTCGATGGCAGATATAGAATGCTCCAAATCACATGTGCATTTCTATGGGCCATTGCTCCCCATGCCTCTGTGAGGGGGCCAGGTTTTGGCTCGTGGTCCCGGTAGGCTAGAACTCCACCCACATCGACTGATGCAAAATAGTTAGGATATCCTTATCAGCCATGGATAGCTCAGGGGAGCCTCCAGGACTCACCCAGAAAATGGCGTTTCATTACATTCAACGCTGGTTTTATTATGCGTGATGTTAGTGCAGCTGGTCTATAATTTTTTGCCAAGGCTTTACTAACCCCCCTTGTGCAGAGGAGCTATATCTGCAGATTTCAGTGCTGCTGGTATCTCCCCTGTATCCACGCTCTTTCTCCATATTACGCTGAGTGCTTGCGCTACTGGTACTTTACATTTCTTTATGAATATTGAATTCCACGAGTCAGGCCCAGGAGCTGAGTGCATGGGCATATTGTCAATTTCTGTTTCAAAGTCTTCTGTTCGTGTTAATATCTGTTATATTATCTGCAGCTTGAATGTCATTCATAAAGAAGCTGTTTGGAACATCAACTTTCATGTTGTTTATTGGTGTGCTAAACATAGCCTTATACTGGCTTCGTAGAATTTCACTAATTTCTTTGTTGTCCTCTGTATACGTACCTTCAGTTGTAATTAAAGGTCCAATACTGGCGGAGGTTTTTGATTTTGATTTTGCGTATGTGAAAAAATATTTTGGATTTTTCTTTATCTCTTGTATAGCTTTCTGTTCCAATTCCATTTCCTCAAACTTTTATGATCACTTCACCGTTTGATCTATTTCTTCAATCTCCCTGTTTAGGTTTATTTTCCTTTCTTGTGATAGTCATGTCTGCCTAAGCATTTCCGTTATTTTTTTCCTTCTCCTGTACAGTCGTCTGCATTCTGCAGCATTTTCCTTCTCATGTACATGTGTTCGATATACATACGTAACTCCAAAGACTTTAAATATTTCTTAAAATCGGTAGGAGTTTAGTAACCAAACCCCTAGTAACCCTCAGTTTAGTAACCCTCTAAATAATGCTTTCAGGTAAGGTCATAAACTAAATTGTTGCCATTTTTGTTTTACTTGGGGAAAATTTTGATGAATTAAGGCAAAACATTCATCCTGATATTCTATTCCAGGTGTCTGAATATTCAAGTACCACCACATGGAGGCTGACTCCATCTGAGATGAGGAAAGTCCTGCAACTCAGGTGAGGCTCATTTTTGATGAGGCTGTACTGCAGCTGGAACACAATACTTGCATGAGGGCAAGGATGTGTGTGTTTATTTTCCCTCTTTTTCTCAGCACATGTAAAATGCCATGTCAAAACATTGAAATTTATATCCAAACATAAGTGATAATTCACGAGATGGAGAGGCAGTGCAATAACATTCAATGTGCAGCATATACTAGCAAAAGAACCAGGTGAGTCTTACCATGTGAACACCAGATTTTGCTCAACCAGAAGGTAACAGTGAACTAGGAATGAAAATACTATACGAGCTCACTTATCCGAAGCCCACCAAGCTGAATATTTTGGTTATCCGGCGAAAATAGGTCAGATATTTTTCTGGCAAAACTTGGCCGTATCCAAATAGCAATTTGGATAACAGGAAATTTTGCTGGATACCACAGACAAGCTGAACAGTATTAACCCCATACAATAGTTGCTTGAGTGCAGGGTATGGGAGGAGTTGGGGTTGCTGGTTTGGATAGGGGCTGTCAGGAGAGAGGGGAAGGCAGGGAGGGACTGTCTGGAAGATGAAGGGACCTTCAAGCTATATTGTATAGAATAGCAAAGAATTATGTTAAAATAATTCATTACAGTAAAAACTAAAGAAATACAGTGGAATCTCTGTGTATGAATTTAATCCATTCTAACAAATGCAACATAATGCAAATATTCATTTGTTTTGTTCTTATTTGTTTTCTGGTGTCCCAGTTGCGGTCTTCTTCCAGGCGACAGTATGAAGTCTCTTTAACCCTTAAACTGCGCAACACCACATATGATGTGTTGAGTAACTTAACCAAAATTGCGTATCACATCGTATGATGTGTTGGAGTACTACGCAAGATTCAAACGGCCCGGGGTTACACGGGGTTCACCTCACTTTCATCAGGGCTCTTGTAAGCAGACGCCATTTTCTGTGGGGAGCCCCTACGGCTCCCTGGAGCTTATCGGGCTAATGTGTGTTATGTTAGACCGGGACATTAGCTAAGGAGTTCAGACCTACCAGGGACCAGCGCCAGAACCTGGCCCCTTCAGAGAGGTTTCAGGGAGCAATGGCCCTGGAAAACCCCATATGGTTGGGGTTTTCCTTATCTGCCATCGACCGGGGTTAGGCACCCAGAAAGGTAGGCGTAACAAAACAAACCCCACATAGTAAGAAACTACAACAAAAACCGAACAGAGAGGTAGAAAACTCCCTACAATCCCAAGGAAACAAGCAAACAAGCAAACATCACACTTTACTGCCGCGCCGATCGTCCGCGCAGCCCTCCCCACCCCGGGAGGGGGAGGGGGGAGCCCCGGACCAACCGCGCCGGCTGCCAAGCTCCAGTTCGTTCGCTAATGTCAACCGGGATTGACGCTTCTCTGGCCTCAGTTTCCTAGGCGGTGTTTGCCTTGTGTGGCGTTCACTGCCGTGTGTTGTGGTGTGCGGTGGCCAGGAGTACTTCATCAGTGCCGGGGCTGCATGTGCTTAGTGGCTGACTTCCCTAAGCGCCCTGTGAGTACTGCCCTTGCGTTACAGGGTTATCTTCCCTGGGGCGTTCGGGAACCATTCCCGTAGAGGTTCTTGCTGCTCGGCATTTGCCTCGCCCTTGGGGCCAGCTGGGGCTTGGGGCCCTTGTTTGGCCCTGGGTAGGGATTGGTATTGTGCTGGTTAGGGCGTCAAGGTGTTGCGCAGCCTGCCACCTAAGCGGCGGCCGGTTTCTGTTGCCTCTGGAGACGGTGTACTTTTGCGGGGTTTTTCTTTTGTTTTTCATTTTCTTGCCTGGTGGGGGTCTGCCTAAGGTGGTTATAGTTCCACTGGTAGTGTTTGGCGGCCCTCTGCTAGGCCCCCGTGCTTGTACACGTCTCAGGGGTTTTCAGTGCTATAATCTACCCTCTTGTTATGTTTGGGTTTCTTAACCGGTTAGCAACACCTTGCCCGGGCTTCCCGTAGTTGTTACCCTACGGGCCCTGGAAACCCCTGTCTGGGCTCGGGGGACCATTGAATGTGTCTTCCGGGTTCCAACCCGTCTTGAACGGGATCGTTGGTTGCTGTTCCCTTGTCTCCGGGTGACAGTCGCCATTTTTACCTCCGTCATGCTGCCTGTTGGGTCACTGACACCTTGACCCGGAGTCTTGCGAGTGATTCTCTGCTTGTTCTCCAGTACTCTCCTGATGTTATTACTGTTCAGAGTACAGGCGGCATCCGTGTTGCAAGCTAGGTTAGGTTGCTGCAACATGCTAGGTTGGTTTCCCACTCGAATGCCCGTGGCCGCCCCGTTTGGTTAGGTGCTGCTCGCCCCTTTCTCTCCATGTTCCCGGCTCCGGACCGTCTGCGGGTTTCGGGGTCGGGGCGGGGTTCAGTTGCGGCAGAGACTCGGGCGGTTTTCGGGGGCTGCCCCGTTCGGGTTGGGGACGGAGGTTTGAGCCTGTGCCTCCTGCCAAGGCTTCTGGGTCTTACCAGCGGCCCTTTCTTGTTGCCTTTCCCATGGGCTCTTGCTTTTCTTTAAGGGCGGAGGGCTTGGAGGACGGCTCTGCCCCGGGGCCTCTGTTGTTGGTTCCCGGGGCTGTGGGGGTTGCCTGCTAGCAGTTCTGGGGCGGTTTTGCCCCTTCAGGGGTTTTTCTGCTGTTGGGCGTCGTTTTTCGCCCTTCCAGTCTGCTAGCTTCCCACATTTGCTGGCGTGTTTTTGTGTATTAAGCGTCAGTCACAGCCCCTGCTGGCGGCCATTTTCGTCTGCCGGTTTCCCGGCGTGGCCACCAGGGCGGCGTTGCGGTTTGTTTACATGCGTCTGGGTGTGCGAGCGAGCGTCTCTGGTGAGTTTTAAAAAATTTGCAGGGTTTTTGTTCTCCTGTTGTCGTTTCTTTGTTTTTCTGTTGTTTTCTTGCCGTTGCCTGTTCCTCTGGGAACGTTTGGGTGTTGATTTTGGGTCTGAGCCTCTGGGTTTAGGCTCAGTGCCCCTGGCTGGTATGCTTGCTCCCACACCTTGCCCCTCGGTTTTCGGTCTGTTGGGACCGTTTTCCCAGGGCGTTCTGCTGGGGTCTGTGCTTTGCCTTTTAGTGGTGTTCTCCGCCGGCAAATGTGGTGGTTTGGGCTCCCCCTGGTTCGATTCTGGGTTCCTTTGGGTTCCTTGGTTTCGTTCTGGAGGTTTCTTCCTCTTGGGCCCCCTTTTGTGGGTTCAGGGGACTTTGTTTCCTCGTGTGACCCGGTTCTGCCTTTTGGGGTTCCGGGGTCTTCCTGGCTTGCAGACTGAGCTTTTTGGGTCTTGGCACATGTTGTGGTTGTGCTGGGACTTTGTGGTTTTGCTGTCGAGGTGGGCCTTTTGATGCAGTTTTGTGCCTTCTTTGCCTGGCCGGCGTAGTGCTCTTTGCCACTAGTCGGCGGCTTGTGCTTTTACAATATATGTCCTCACCTAGTTGTGCTTGTGGGGGTTGAGCTCTGGCTCCTTGGTCCTGCCTCTCAACCGTCCGTCAACAGGTGTATCGGTTCCTGTGCCTCTTGGGCTCTGTCATGTCTACATGTGACATTGTATGGGGGTCAGCCTCGTTACTTGTGTGAGGAGTCGCCACATTACTTCTTAGTGCTTTCCCGTTCCCATTCTGAATTCTATCTGTGGCTCTTTTGGGTACTCAGTTTCCACCTGTGTCCCCTAGTGCGTGTGCCCCTTGTGTTACATAGCCTGTCCTTCTCAACCCTGTCGATTCCCTTGGGTATCTTGTATGTGGTGATCAGGTCTCCCCTCACTTCCTCTTCCAGCGAAGTGTGGTTTCATTCCCGTAGTCTCTCCTCATGACTTCGGTAGTGTACTTTTTCTTTCTGAAGGGGTTCTGTTCCCTTCTCTGTTGACTGGGCGCTGGGGGAGCAGCTTGCTCTGTTGCCTCTCGCTTGGTCCCGCTGTTGGTGGGCGCTTTGGGTTGTCTTCCGGCCTCTGCTGGCGTCGGAGGACGGCTTCTCCCCCTTGGGGGGGGGTTCAGAGCTGGCGGGGTGGGCTTCTTCCCTGCGCTTCGTCATTTCCTCTTCGTGGGTGCGTGGGGCGTGGTCGATTCGCCCCATCCTTCTGGGCTTCCCGTCTGCTCTTTGCAGTCATGAGCTTTTCCCGTCTGCTCTTTGCAGTCATGAGCTTTTCCAGTCTGCAGTTCTTCTGGACTACTTCCGTCTGCGCCCTGGATCCTCTGCCCTGCTCGGAGGACTGTTGTCACCTGTTCGGATTCTGTTAGGGCCGGGTGCATGGATGGTGGACCTGGACCTCCAGGTCACTTCTTGGCACGTTCCTCTCCAGTTTTTCTGGGGCTAGCACGGTTGGTACTTACCTATGTGTACTTACCTAAGTGTAGTTACAGGATGAGAGCTACTCTCGTGGTGTCCCGTCTTCCCAGCACTCTTTGTCATATAATGCTTTGATTATAATTGTCATATTGTCATATAATGATTGTCATATGTCATAATATGTCTTCATATGATTGTCATACAATGCTTTGGTGGTGGGGCTTCAGGTTTGCTGTTTTTATTGCATTCCCTATTTTGTGAAGGGCACTTTGTATACTCTTTGCATCTTTACCGGATCTTAGTGCCCTGTCTGCGTCTGAGATTCGGTGTCTGGCCTACCTCGACGACTGGCTGGAGTGGGCTCCCAGTCAGTCCGCTTGTCTGCTCGCCAGGGGATGGTTCTTTCCAGATCGCTGGGTTTGGTTTCCTGGTGATCTGGAGGTTTTACCTTCTGTTTCCGTCCCGGGTTCGGACCTGGGCCTTGTTTCAGGCTCTTGGGCCCCTCATTGTCTTCCCTCCAGAAGTGTTACTGTGGCTGTGGTCCCGCCTTTGGCTGTTCAGGAGGGGGTCCCGGGTTGCTCAGCGGTTGCTTGGGCGGTTGTGCGGGAGTTTGCACTTCGGCGTGCTTGTCTGCCCGCGGAGTCGGGTTTGGCTCCGGCGTCGGTTGGTTCCTACGGAGACTCCACTTCCGCCTCTTGCATTCCTTGGGTTCCTCTGGGGATCTGGTGTTGGT